TTAATTTTTTAAATATTTTTTGAAACGATTTTTTTTACACATTTATTATGTTGAAGCTATTTCAGCTAGTGCACTTAAGCAGTTTTACTCTTTCTTAACTCGAGGTATTTTCAAAATTTCAAAACCCCTCTTTACACCTTGACTAAGCAATAATTGGCCTCGGATCTGCATACCACCCGAGAAGCCTGTAACCATTTTGAGATTTGATAGCGCGGTGTTGGTAAGTCTGACAGTTTTCGCAAATAATTTCAGGACTCTACCCTTTATGTATTTTTTGATGGGATCAATCTTGAGATCCCTGAGGATGTCATTCGTCCTAATGTACTATGGTACTTTGAAAAGTCTACTCAGAGCCATTTTATTAAAGAAAGAAAAGAAATCTATTTGAAAATAATTTTTAAATTGCTACTAGCACTGTTTAAAAATGTTCATAATTTAATAATAAACTTGACAATTATTTCTAACTTCAGACAAATTTTATATTTAATATCATTGCAAAAGCGCCCACAAGAAATAACATATTTCTCTCATAAAACTGTAACGGAAAAATGGAGAAAGATGTGCATCATTCCTGATTTTCTGCAGTTAGTATTAATAAAATCAAATCACTCACAACTTGTTATATATTCCAGTCAATCTTACATTCATACAATAACACTAGGTCCGTGCTACTTAACAAAAGGGATCAAGTCCATACCGCAGTTCTTACAGGCCGATGACGTAAAAGATCCCACAAAAGAACCAGTGTCTTCTGTTTAATACTTAGGACGTGTGCGAGTTAGGCTAAGTTGATGCTAAACCAAATGGGAGATTTTTTGCACTGCACACATTTTGCCATTTATCAACATGTATCGACACATCAATACATTATCGACACAACTTAGAATTTCCCTCATTTAGAACGCAACTTAGCCTAACTCGCACACGACCTTATTATAGAAATGGCAAAACTCAAATAAATATGAGACAAACACTTTTTCTTTGTTAGCACCCAGCTTTGACTGAAAGACTTTGAAGAAATACATTTTTAGGGAAATGGTTTCTTGACAGTCTGTTGGACTGCACATCAGTAAGAATAAAAGATCTCTTAAGCTACTTTAGCTTAACCGGATGGATCTAGTAATTCGACAAGTGTGCTCTTGAAATGGCAAATATTTGGTATTAATGTAAGCCTTCGTCTTATCTGCTGATCAGCTACTTCAACTAATCGTACACTAACAGAACTTGATTGTTAATTTGTTTAATAGTCTCGTTCTGTAAAACACTACTAATAAAAGATTGCTGCATTGATAGGGCAAACATATGAATTCCAAATATTCTCTTTAAGCACAAATTTGTTCCATCTTATTAAGTTTGGTGGCTTAATTATGTGGACAATCTACAAAAATGTTATATGGAAGAGATCATGAAGTGAAGTAAAAATATCTTGCTCAAAATACTTCAAAAACGATTTTCATGAAAAAATGGATTTCCAGGGAATTCCATTCTTTTCTAACTTTTATCAGACAATAATACTGAAGTGTACTTTTATCAACTTGACTTAAATTGATCAATTGATAATGTGTAACGTTTGCCCAAATTATATAAAATACAAAACTTCAGCAAGTTTAGTAAATCACTAATATCTTCTACAATTTAGATGAAAAGTATTACCAGACTCACCATATTGTCCAAATGTGATACCATCGGATTATCTCTTGTTCTTGTTCCGGTGAATATGAAAGAGTGAAGGATATTAGTCTCATACGACAAGTTTGTCAAAGTAGTAGAAACAATAAAGCTAAAATTACATTAATACAGTTGAAGTGGAGATAGTGGGTCTCAAGATGTTGATAATAAGATTAATAATAAGATAAGATTAATATCACTTAATTATAGATAACATTTTTTTTTAAATAGTACTTGCATTTTCTATATTATTTAAATATAAATAAAGAAAAATACTAAACAATTGTATTTATATGGTCGTAATTTTCGAATTAAGAATAATACATATAACATATAATACATATATAATATAATACAGTTAACATAAATATTTACCATGATCGAATTGACACTAAATTTCAGTCAAACTAATCACTTTACGGTTTCTAGTTATAGGAACTAACCTTCTTCCAAGATATAACGTATTTGAATGTATTGTACCCATACGGTCATATCCGTAATCTCTACTCAACTTCTAAATTTATTTTTAATTTGTTTCACTAAAAATCCATTGCAAACATAATTATTTCTTATTATTTATTTTTTATTTTTCAAAATTCCAAAATTAGTTTACTTTAATTGCACAAAATAGTCGGCATCTAATTTTTTTTATTTTTGTATCTCTTAACTTATTTAAAAGTGCAAAACTAATTGGAAAATTTAGACCAATCGGTCTAAATTGTGGGAGTAGCAGAGCTGTTTTTATGTGCTATTCGTTTTCGTTATTTATTTTCAAAAACTTGGCCTAAACTATTTTTCATTAGTACACGAAATATGCTAAAATGACCTCAACTCCTCAGACTCTACTTTTACGACTTCTTGTGCAGGGAGACACTTTATTGGCAGTTTTAATGTTCGCATGCAACGTGAGTTTTCTTCGAGCGGCCCCAAGTGAAAGAAGTTTGGTGATAGTGGATGATTGATTTACCCGAAATCTAATTGCGGCGGAATATAAGCCAAGTCGAGTTCTACTTTTGAGCAGAAATTGCAAAGCATTAAAGCCAAACGACCGAACGTGCGTTTATATTGACATTTTTGTTACTTGATGAAAATGTCGTGTACAATTTTTAATGAATAAACTTACCGAAGGCGTATACCCATAAATCTGTCATTCTATAGAACAGACTGTGTCAAAGTGTTGATATAAATGCAATAAGATAAATTTTCTGGATTTAAAACTATTATAGTGAATCGTAATTTTTCGAAGGCATTGTTATGGATATCAACTTTTTAAACTGCTCTACTCGTATGCTTCTATAAATGATGATACGTCTTTTATTGCAGAGTATTAGATAATATAAATGGAATATTGAAAATATGAATTATATAAAATTAATTTTCTCATAATTGCATGCGTACTTAAGTAAATTGACTAATCTGACATTTATATATATAAATCAATTGCAATAGAGATGGTTTCTTACCTCACCTGTTAATCAAAGACTATAACTACTCTTATGTTACTTAACAATGCCTTACCATAATACTTACTTGTGTCCTTGGAGTTAAAAATACGTATTTCCGGGAGAAAGTATGAAACGGAATGTGAGCGTTCACACTGATGTAAAACAGATTTAGGTAATTCTATACTCATATACAATATGTACTTGTGAAAATATTTAATTAAAAACCATTTTAAAATTGATATACAAAATTAATTTAAATAAAAATATTATGGTTAGTATGTCATTGTTAAATAAAATTGATGAGGTTAAAAATTATAAATGAATTCATCAACATTTTAATGATTAATCAAATATGAAAAATAAAAATCATAAACAATTTCAGAGTTATATTATATTAAAATTGCCTATTTTATGAAGCGAAATAATATAGAAGAGACCATTTTTTTTCAGTTCAGCATATTTATGAATAGATATAAATTACTTAAAAATTGTCAGTTTAGCGAGTTAAAGCTACTAGGCTAATAATTAGGTTTAGCTGATAAGACTCACAACCAATATCCCATAAAAAGGCTATTTTCTTTATACTACAAAGATCTTTATGCTATAAAGATCAATAAAAGCTTTATTATCTTATTTTTTATTGTATTATTTTTATATATTATTTTCATTTGAGAAGAGAGAAGCATAATTAAAAAAAAACTTCATTGCATAAAAAAAATTTTTTTTCTAGAAACTTTTTTAAACATATATAACATAGACAACATAAAAATACTTCAGAGTTAGACTTCATTTGCAAAAAATTTTACGTCTTAAACTTCAGTGCGGCCAAATTCAAAAATCAGTCTATTGTGAATGTTCACTGGAAAAATGTTGTGGAATTCACAGTCATGCGATAAAATTATATGAGCATTTCATTTACGAGTACTACTAAATTTAAACATATAAAAAAATAAATTAATTTAAATATATTACATAAAAATGCCTTCTAATATTCAACTTATATTATTATTTTTAAATTAATTAATTTCCAGTGTTTATAATTTTTATATATTATATTGTTCACAATATAAATCAGGATGAATAGTGGAACTATATAAATATTGAACTTTCGTGTTCAAAACTGTTTTATGTTTTACTGTATAGTACCTGAAAAAACTTGATCTGAAGTTTTGAGGTACAATTGGTGAAAAGTATATAATATGGCAAATATATAATATAGCTACAAGCAAAAAGAAATATTATTATAAAAGAGTAATATTATTCTGAAAATTGATTAGAATGAAACATGAAACGTTGGTAAAGTGTCAACCAGTTTAAAAAGTGAAATCACTTTTAAAGATTTTCCAAAACAATACGCACTCTTGGTGTTTTTCAATCCCAGTACGACAATTTTGCTCCTTGCCACATCCACCAAACGAAAAATGAGTCTAATCACTGGTCAAAACAGTGAATTTGAATCAACAGAATTTGTTGTACGTCTTCTTCTATATGCAATATATTATTGAAAATGTTCATAAAAATTTGTTGTTAAATAATTAACTGGAGCTGATTTATTCAGTTAAAAATTCAGTATAAAAATATTAAGAAAGATATAAAATTTTTACACTTAATAATTAATAAACCTTAAGCAGAGAAAATTGCTTAAGTGTTTACACTGTAGCAATTCAATGACAATTATTTTCTATGAATAAAAATTTTATCTTTTCTTGTAACGAAATGGTCAATGGTTTTTTAATCTCATTAATAATCATATTAATGAAATGTTTAATGATGAACTATATCTATTTCGTATAGTAGGCTATGAATGTCTGATTGAATTTCGAACTAATGGGTTCAATAATAATGTGGAATTATAGACTTTGGAACATTAGTACATATTAATGAAATTTTTGGTTAACATACCAAAAAATGTCATGTGAACATGTAGCAAATTGTCATAGCAAATTGTGATAATGCCATTGGCAATAATGCATATCAGGACTAAATCTTTACGCGCTGGCAACTCTACGAAAATTGCAATATTTGAGAAAATTTATGAGTTAGTGAAAAATTGAGAAAAATTGTAAATGTTGTGTGTTGCGTATGTTACCTAAATTCATCCCGTGCCTGTTGTGTCCGAACGCATAGGTATTATTTTCGAATATCGTCTACAAATAATTGTTCGTATGTATTAGTAAAGAATTGAGAGTGCATGCAAAAACCCTGCCAAAGTCGAACCAGTATAGATGTTGAGTTAACAGCGAAAATAACAATTACAAAAATTTTAAAAGAGGTATTCAAAGCATTAAAAGAAATTTAAAGAAAATTCTTGATTTTCTGAAAAAATTGTCGTGCTAGAGGAGTTAATGAAAAGTAAGTTCAAGATCCTGTATTTCGCCCTTGGAATCTGCCTACACTTTTTCTTCCTGGTAAGCCTAAATAGTAGAAACGAAGTGAAAAAGGAACAACTGTTTTTAAAGAAAACAAAACTGTAAATAAATTAGTATTAAAATGTTCAACAAATGGGTAAGAGATATGATCTTGAATTTTGATATACAGCATAATTCTTACCATATTTGGTCTTTTCTTTTTAACAAGATTCCTGAAAGGTATTTTATATTAAAATATTACATGTAAACAATTACTAAATCTAATTTATTTAGGCCACAAGTTGAAGAATGGATTGATAATATTTTAGAGATTGGAGGCATCAATAATACAGATTCTAAATTCAATGAGTTACCCAATGAGGTTTTGTATAAAATAGTGAGTTTCATTGAGAAAGATTCTCTACCACGTTTTCGAGCTACTTCCAAACAGATGAATAACATCGTTAGAGACTTTTTATTAGTGAAATATCAAGCAAGCGTCGAAAAGCGATCAACATTTTTTAATCCTCATATAGTGCAAACTATTACAATTTTAACGGATTACTTCAAGAAATTCGGTTACGAAGGCGCGACGTATTTACTCTTATTAAAGTTTTATCCAGTACTAAACTATGAACCCGAAAAATATGCATTTCATCATATCGTGGCAATTTGGATACAATTGTTGGCTGGAGTGAAATTGTCTGAAACGAATCCTAAATTACACCCTATGCAGGTATTTCTACTTGGCAATTTAACAGCTTTGCGTTTATTTCGCACTTATGCTCGACGTTGCTACGATCAAGTTGGACATAATATTTGGTCATGCAAAATGAGAACAAACAGATTTCCGATTGTTTTACTGAAAAACTTTCAAATTAATAATAAACCAGAACCTGATTCTTTGAATTTGGAATCCTTTGATTTGGTGGAAACTTCCTACGATTTTTTTAAAAAACGTACTATGCACCTATCTTTTACTATAATCGCTACGAATGCACATGTTGCACTTTTTCATAGACTTTTTGAAAACAAGTTTAATCCAAATATGATTCCTGACGTCCTACCCTCAGACGAATTCGTTATGCAGTATGATCTAAATTCGTATGGCTTTCGATAACATATAACAAATATCTGATTAATAATTTATATTATATTTAAGACTAAATAATAGTGATGTTTTTCATAATAGTCAGTTTCTCATTAAAAATATAACGAAACACAAAAATTTGTTTATCATTTCTGTGAAATTTGTAATCAATTGATATGTATACCTATGATTCTATTCTAAGTAGAGCATAGACCCTCTCTTATCAGTTGTAATCAAACAATATTATAGATAAAGACAACAATACCGTTCCGTGTATAATTTGCTGTTTTAATCACGTCCAAGAGGATTCGTTCATAAAGGATATCAAAGATTTTTGAAAATTAACATAACATTATGAGTCTTATGGAGAACTATACCAAGAACAAATATACTGATTTTATGGACTCCAATTTAATTCCTTTTTTATTACCTGTAACTGTGACTCATTTGCATAGTGAACCAGGAATTATTTGTGTACTTTGATGTTTTTACCTGTCATGTTTTCATTATTTAAAAAATAATTTGCTTAAACGACGTGTGATATTCTATGTTCTACGATTTTGCTACGATTTACATACACAAGGACATAAATCATAGAAAGAGTTGATTTCGATATGGGCGCTTGAAATATAATTTTGTCGTTGTGTGTCACTATCCCTCTGTTCACTTAAACAATATCCCAGCAACCGAATTTCTCTCGTTGTGTTAATGTTTGTGTGCCCAGCATAGAAAGGGAGAAAGATAGAAAGTAATTCATGGAAAGAGTTGATATTGCAGTGTGCGGCTTGCCTGAAACAAAGTTTTGTCTTTGTGCCCGTTTATTCTTACCTTTACCCTTATAATATACAAACAAACAGACACTTTTTTCTCTCTTTGTGATTTGCTTGTGTGTTTTGTATGCATGTATAACTAAATTTTGGAAAAATATAATATAATTTTAATATTGTTTGAAACGAACGCTCAGATTAACATTTTTCACGGCGAAATTTGTTTAATTCGCTCGAAAAAAAAGTAAAAAATTGATATTTTAAAACAGCATTACCGCTTAATTTTTGTCAATTATTGTCGACTAATCTATTAAAAATATAGGATATATATTATTGTAACTGAAAGTGAGCGATATATAAATATTTATTTCAAGATGAATACAGGAATATTTTTGAAATTTTTATATCTAACAAATAGCTATTGGTTAAAATCAAATTAAAATTTTTAAACGAATTATTAAGACAGGTATTGGGTTAAGTAGTTAAATATTATATATGAAAATTTCTCCTATTATCTTTAAACGAAATAACAAATTTTGTTTGAATCGTTGTTTGAATCAATCAGGTGATTCACTTTTATCAATATTAATATTAAATATTGGAAAAATATTAAAAAAAAACTTCAAAATATGAAATAAAATTATACTATTTAAACATTTACATTCATTACTATGCATCCGTCGAATAATCTTAGTTTAAACCAGGCTTATTCTTGGGTGAACAGATACTAAGTGCATTCTTTTGACATAAATGCTCAATAGAACATATGTCGCTATAAAGTTAATATGCAAAGCAAAAACAAAATTCCCAAAAATAAGACCAGTTTCCTGGAAGTGCCTAACGAATAAGCTCCTCGCACTACAATGGTGCCAAATTTTAGAATTAATCTATTGTGAATGATTTTTGGAAAAAATGGAAAAATCCAGTCAGCTCTTTATTATTTACAACAGTTACGAGTGTTAATAAGTAAATTTAAATATTTTAAAAAAGTAATTTTTACACTAAAATTTGTGAAAATGACTGACATTTTAATAATTTATTTATTAAGGAATTTTTAATTTATGTGTTCATTAAAAAATACAATACATGAATAATACAAAAAATACAAAAAAACACAACCAGTGCTTAAATAGTGTTCACCAATAACTTTTTTGTGTCATTCATTTTATATATATATATTTATATAAAATCTTTTTATAAAATTTATTTAAAATTTTATTACTTGTCATATGTTTACTGATTTAGGCAATGTTACCAAGTTATTCTTAAGCACCAAAAGCTGTTCTAGTGGAGCACTTTTGTCAAAAGAATACACCTCTTGTAGAAGAAAAAAAACATTGTACGAGTAATCTTTCTTTTTTTCAGGAAGTGTTCGTTACTAGAGGCAATAACAATCTTGACAACAACATTCTTGTTGTATGTCTATTTAATTATAAAAATAAGCTGTGAATTTTTCTTTTAGAGTTGTTAAAAAACAGTATTAAGTCTGGTTTAAACAAATTGGCATCACTTTTAAATTATGTCAAATGCTTTCTTTCGACGTATTGTTTTTGTTGTGTTGTGTATAATATCAAATACAATAATTGTAAATACTAAAAATTAATTAATTTAAATAGAAGCAAACAAAATGAATATTAGAAGTGTACTGGTTAGCATTCTCATCTAATATATTTAAACTTATTTAATTATTTATGCATTTGAATTTAAAAAATGAAATGAAATGCTTATATGATTTTAACGTATGACTGGAATTTTGCGACATTTTTCTAGTGAATATTCACAATAGACTGATCTTTGAATTTGATTGCACTGAAGTAAAGCCTAACTCTGAAGATTTTAAGAGTTTTGTTTTGTTGCTTCACATGTTTTCTTTTGTAAATTGCGAGCATTTTTTTCTACTCTGAAAGAAAAAATTTCACCTATGAGTATTGTGGTTCAACCAACTAAAATGAAACAAACTATAAAGTGAAAGTGCAGTTTGCAAGCATACTATCCTTTTATCCTTCAATCAAGCACTATTACTAAGAATTTCTCAAGATCCTTTCAACTAGATTTTATCTAGTAAAAACATTGCAGCTACTAAAAACGGCAATGATTGCAATTTGTCAAATCAATTCTGCATAAACTGCAAAATAATATGAAAAGTTGAAGGGAAAGCAAAATATACTGAAATGCTTGAAAACATCTCCATTATATTGTATCTTTTGAAGCCTTCCCTATTTTGCATTCAATTGAGATGAAAATCGTAACATATGTACAGATATCTACACGACTTTGCCAACAGAAGACGTACAACAATTGACGATGCCAACTGAATTACTTCGCGGAGACTTTGGCATTCAAATCAACTTCAACAAACAATAACAATAACAACTGCGACTGCAACAACAAAACAAACCAAAATACTGACAAATTTTGCACTGGTGAATACAATTGCCGACTCCCTCCCCACACTTCAACAACAACAAACACGCTCGCTGCATTACAAAAACCACAATAAAATACATTAAAGATTCTTAAGCAACACACTCCGTCGAAGTATAAACAACTGCATTAAGGCAACGACAGTGGCCACTTCAATAACAACAAAAACAACAACAACACATACAGTAATGGTAAGGCAAGATTTACATACTTGATCTCCACCACTCAACTGAGTTTCGTACAATGATGCCCATGCAATGCAGTGAGTGTCACCACAGCCAAAGCAATTCGCCACTCAAATTGACACAATAGCGCACCGGCCGCAAGTCAAAGCTGCGACACACACACGATTACACTGAATTCCACTTATGCAGGCGATGGAGACGTTGTTACTGAATTGTTGCTGTTTTTTGTTTTTGTTTTTTGTTTTTTTGTTCCTTTTAGGCCACACTTTGAAGGGAACAAAATGCTTACTTCTGCTGCGAAATGGTAAAATAAATTCAAAAAGTTATTTAAATGAGACATTTTAAAGGTACCAAATTACAGTGGATCCATTTGCTTAATATGCACACAAAATTTTGCAATTATTTCACACATAACGATAGTTTTAATAGAATAGAAATAAATATAGAAATATACTCAAGACTTATGTATAGCCACCAATCTGAAAAAATTAATGGATCTAAAACCTATGCTATAATAGGCGATACTGAAAAATATACGCTTTTTCGCATCATGTAGCGACAAACTAGATGATGTTGGTACGCATATATCAGGCAACACTTATCCGATTTTGTTGTGTGATTTGGGGCTAGTAAAAAAAGTTATTTTGATTTGAAAACTAATGAAATATCTGAAGAAACATGCTATGTTATGCTTTATTCCTATAAAAAATATATAAACACTACAAAAATAATCCGAAAAACTCGTCAGTTTACGGTGAAGATAGGTAAGTGAACGCCGAATACCGGAGTGGGGTTCGTTCCTTTCTCTGATCGGACAGTTTCAAGAAATTCCTTGAAATTTTTCAACTAGTGAAGCAAGACCCACACACAAGCTGTGAGGGGATAGCGAAGGAACTAAACATTAAGCACAAGACAATTTGGAATCAATGAAAAAAGAACACGTTACACGGAGACGCTCGATATTTGGACAGCAAATGAATTAATAGTTAAAAGTCTGTGACCATCCGCGAACGAGTTTAGAGCCTAGATTGACGACAAACAGGGTTACGTTAAATGTTTGGTGAGATTGAAAGGAAATTGTCTATTATGAGTAGCTTTAGCTTGTCGTAATTTGGTTTTCTACGTTAATGCTACCAACTCAACAGTTTAAATAAAGCTATTAAAGAAAAACGATCAGAATTGACCAATAAAAAATAAGGTTTGTCACATCACGACAATATAAGGAACATAACTCTGAAAACTAAGTTGACGGAACTTAGTTAAAAAATTGTGACGCGTCCACAGTATATTCGTGACCTCGCATCATCTGACTACCATTTGTTTTGGTCTCTCCAAAATTCTCATAAAAAGTTGGCCGACCAAAGAGCCACTAAGAATTACTCGTCCAATATTTTTTGCAGATAAATCACAAAGGTTGTACACCGATGGAATTATGAAGTTCTCTAAAAGTTAGCAAAATGTCATAAATAATAATTGCCGTAAACAAGTTTCATTAAAATTAATTTTTAATGAAGTATATTTTTGTTCAGAAATGTACCAAAAAACTGGGGATACTTTCTTAAATCACGCAATATGATAATAACAGAATTATAAGATGCTCTGAAAGTTTTTTACAAAATTTATATATATTAAATAGTTTAAAAGACAAAACCACTCAAAATCCTAAAACGTCAAGATATTAAAAAAAATTTTTTTTACTAAAAAATTTATAGGCTGCTCTGATTTGATACAACTCTTTAGTGGTCTTTA